CTGTTGCAAGGATCCATCTAGAAGCGCCTGCTTCAATCCCCCCTCTTTTCGCTTCCTATCAAAGCCCACTGCGGTAGAGCAACTATCATATGAGCCAGCTCTCGGTTTTCTTTCGTCCTGAGGTTAACTGTGGTTTTATTTTCAAAATGTGCTTTTTTGCTTTAAATAAAAGTGTCCTGTGTTTCGCTGATACTCATTTACAAGGTGGTACAGTTATCCTGGAGAGATGAGTTTTAACCTAGGGTCTGTGTTCCGGTTGTAATTAGGAACTGCCTGCAAATTTGCTTGATATCGAATGTTGAAATAGATAAGGAAGAAGGAGTGTCGAGTACCGAATCAATTTGTTTATTATTCTGAGCTTTCGAACTCTTACAGGAGTTCATAGACAGTGATAAGAAACAGCAACTAAAGTGCATGTAGTGCGTATACACCAGTCAGCTGTCAGGGTTCGTAGGCTTGTATAGGGGGTAAAACACAACAATGCCAGCGTCGTCAAGGGTCGTCAAGTCATGAGGGGTAAGAAACAGCAATGAAAAGGACGCGGAGGGGTGGGGGGGATTATAGAGGTATACATTAATCAACCGTCAGTGATGTCCACGCTAATCAGGGCGTCAGCAGCGAAAATATGACAATTATAGAGGATGTGGGCCCAATTAACTGTGGTGGATGTGACTGTAAGTGATTGCGCAAGGCCCTGTACACCGGCGCCAATTTGATAAATCGGTTGATTGAATTTTCGTCTGTGGAACAAGCGTCAGTCAATTAACGGCTCATCTTGTTTCCGACGTGTGCAGGTACTTGGACGGCCGCTAAGTTCAACTCATATCCTGTTTCAAAGGTGGGAGGTGCAACTTGCGATACTTCTTTGCCTCGTCGTCGGCCAAACTGTGTTCACGTATGCGCTATCCGAGCATGCGTTCAGTTCAGATTCTGAAAGCTCAGGATAATAAAATAATTGATCCGGTGCTCTACAATCCTTTTTTATTATCCATGCAAACACCTGGAACGCCACCGTTTTTATTCATTCGTGAATGCTGAAATATCCGGCATTGAGTTTGCACACAGAAAACCGATATTGTTGTCATTTTCTGAAGCGTAAACTTCTATTTTTAGGCCAGTATAAATGAATAATTAAAAATACTAACTGTAACTTACAGTACGTTTACAGCTTTGACTGCTATCAAAACTAGTTGGCCACGAAAAAATGGTAGATGGACTACCTTCATGAAGGAAACACATGTTCTGTAAGTGTTCCAGGAAGCTGACGTTCACAAACCTAATACCCGATTGAGGACAAAAAACAGGATATACCGTCGTGTCTTGCTGTTCCTTACCTCGAAATCCTGTGAATAGACCTCACTGCATCGGGAGATTTGCAATCAACAAGTATTTCCGTCTGAAGTCCAAAACTGACGCTTTGGGCTTCCCTGCCATCGTCAGTTAATCATATCGTAAGGCCAAACTGAAAACTGTGGTCTGCTCTGTGTGTCGGTGAAAGGTTTGAACTAATGGGTATTCACCGTCATGCAACCGCCTCCGTGCGGTCGAGGTTCAAGCCCTAAAACAAAAAATAATCGGTATAAACTCATAAAGTCATATTTTGTGTGATTTGAACTTGTATTGGTCGAAGTTAGCAGCAAAAAAACGCCTGGTCTAGCGATGAATGACCAAACAACACGCTCTCACATACTCCATTTCGAATGGTAAAGCATGGGTAGCTAATGATACCAGATAAGGCCGAAACCATCATTCAGGATCACACTCTCTGTGTGGGGATCACCTGTAAAGTGAATGGCGGCAAAACTCAAAAGCGGCAGAAGTTGCCTTCATTCGAATTAACAAGTCGCCAGCTCTGAAGTATTGGCACTCGGTCAATCGCGCATAAGATATACTAGAAACGAAATTGCTTTTAGATACTTCTCGCATGCGCTTTATCAGTCATTTTGTCTGTATCCACAGAGGAAAGAATTCAGTGGCTTGTACATCATACGCAGAACTGCATCATTTAAAAGACACAGGAGACTGAAACGATCATTATTGGTTCTCATCAGCCAGGCATATCGGGGCTTGAGAGGGGGCCCCAAAGGATAACGGAACGAATGAGTTCCGGAATTGATCGCCACGCCTGCATCCACTATTGTTTACACTTCTAACCGAAAGCCCCATGAGAAGGTACAAGTGACACAGTGATGTAATTGTCAGACTTATAACTAAGCGGTTGCGAACTCGAACCTCATGTGAAGCAACATCTGAGGTTGGGTATAGCTGGCTGGTGCTGGTTAAGAAGCTCTAACTGACCATTCTGCTCTCCTTTTCTTTGTCAGTAACGTCTTTCTGTCTATAATATACATACTACCGGCTGTCTATTGGCAGTTTACTATGCGGTTTTCCCGCATTGGCTGATACATTTCGACCCTAATGGCCAAATACATTTTCGTTCTTCGCCTATTTAATTTACTTTAGGCAGATTTACTTCAATATGTCCATATATTTCTGAAAAAAGTAAAGGCCGCACTGTCCATATATTTCTGAAAAAAGTAAAGGCCGCACTGAAATGTTTAGAATACCTATGGGTTTATGTTATATGTCTTAATGTCTTCCTTTGTTGGTTTGAAATACTGCATTGCTTTAGTAAAAGTCACTGCTGAACAGAGTTCTTTTTAAGCGGAGACACTTTTGGCTGGAAAAAGCAAATGAAAAAGACCGACTTTTGCAATTTTAATTAACA